GGGGCCGGGGGCGCGGGGGGAGCGAGGGGCACAGGGGAGCTGGCGCGTGTGCGCGGGGGCGGAGGGTGCGCGGTCTGGAGCTCGTGCTAGCCCAGCCAGAAGAAAGGGGGGGAGGGGGCGAGGGCTTGAGGCGGGGCCGGGGACGGGCGGAGCTGCTGGGGGGACCCCCGCTTCCCCCTTCCTTCAGGCCGCGCTAGCCCCCTCCCCCGGCTCCCTCGGCACGCCCCCACCCAGTCCGCGTCCCCAGTCTCCGGTCTGCTCGCCGGCTGCTTCACATCCCGCGCACCGGTCCTCAGCTTCTGCCGCCGCCGCCCCCTCCTCCTCCTCCTCCACCCGCTTCTCCACCTCCTCGGCTGCTGCGGTCCCCTCTGTGTCCAGAGCTCCCCACTGGGCCCCTCCAGACGGCCCCTCGCCCCGGGCTGTTCCGTCTTCTCGGCGGCCCTCCCTCCTGCAGCAGTTCACAGGCTGCCCCTGCCGACCTCTCCGGCCCCAGATCCGGCCGGAGATCCCAGGGTCAGAGGGGCCACCCTGCCGGGGTTGGAACTGCCCGGCCTGTCCCCAGCCTCCCAGCCGCTTTGGCCCCGGGGGTCAGCTGGTCTCCCCCTGACTCCTGTGGGTGGGGAGAACGGAGAGTCCGCTGCCGTTCTGTGGCTTTGGCCAAGGCCTTGGTCACCTGGGTATCTTGGCTAGGGCCTCTGAGCTGCTGTGGCCCCCTGCTCAGTTGGGGAGGGGGAGCGCCCTCCTCTCGTCGCTGCCTACTGCACAGGGTACCTAGCAGGCTTCCAGGTGAAAGGGTTTTGCAGTTCTGGGCCAATTTGCCCCTCTTCCTAACCACCCACACCATGTCCCTTGTACTAATACTCAAGGACAAGGAAACGATCTTGTTTTTTCCTAATGGCATTTTTTCCTTGTGCCCCTCCTCCACGCACACTTGGATGGCTCTGCACAGTTATTCACCCACCCACGGTGAGCAGCCCTTTCCTGTGTTGGGTACTTGGCCACACTTGGGTGGGGGGTTGACAGTCCTGGGTTTCTGTCTACTCTTTCCACCTTTGAAGCAAGCGGGGGACAGGGTCAAAGGTGAGGGATGGGGTTTTGCAAAGGTCAGATAGCAGAGGTCAGTTGGGTGCTGTCTTCCTGACTGCAGTGGGCAGGCAGTGCTTTTTGCAGGGGGGAGAGAGAGGTTGTCCTCAGGGCTCTGTGCGTTCATAACAGGTGATAGGACATCCACTTTCTTTGGAACCCCACTGGAGAGCTGGGGGTGGGGCTTGGTGGGTAGGATGGTGCTTCTGGAGCCAGGATGGGAACTGGGGAGGTGGGTGGTGGGGCTTCAGGAGACAGGTGACAGGACTGGGGCCTTCCGACTGGAGTGGAGGAATGATGGGGTCTGGGGAAAGGAGGAGGTGGGGGTTCCGTAAGGTGATAGCTCATGGGTGATACCGGATGGAGTCATACTAATGATGGCCAGCATTTATTGGGCACCAGGCTAAGCAATTTGCATGCACTCTCTCATGTGAGCCTCACAGCCGGCTTAGTAATTCTCTTTCTCAGATAGGGAAACTGAGGCTCAGAGAAGTCAGCAGGGTCACACAGTGAGCAACTGGAGAGCCACCTAGTACGTGAACCCTGGCAGAGCAGATCGGAAGCTCCTGGCCCAGGTTTGGGGGTGTCTCTTTGGCTTCTTCCATAGCACCTTGCCACTGGGCTTTAAATTTCTTTTTCTGCCCCCCTCAAACTCTCTTTAAGCCAAGCTAGGCTGGTGAGTGAGACCCACAGAGCCCCTTTTCAGAGGCTCTGACTGTCTTATCCCAGTGTCCTAGACGGGGAACCCCAGGGAGTTTTCCCCCAAGCTGCCCCGCCCCCCGGATGTTCTCAAGCCCTGTCCCATTCTCCCAGCCCAGGCCAGCCAGCTCCTCCTTCCTCTTGGCGAGGCTCTGGAAATCCAGTGGGAGGCCATTGCTATGGCAACGGGACTAGGCCCTGGCTTTACCTCATCAAATTCCAAGCTGAAGCCAAAGCGATTGAGAAATTAGAGAAAAAAATGTATTCCAGATGTTTACTTTTTATTCCTTATTTTTCCGTGTTTGGATGAGACAGCTCTGAGGGAGGCGGGAGTGGGGCTGGGATGTGGAAGGAGGAGGGGGAGAGGGGGAAGAGGGAACCACTCCCAGCTGCAGGAGGGAGGGAAGGAAGGAGGGTGAGCGGGAAGGGGAGGCAGCGGAGGGGCGGAGCCGCAGGTTGGGGAGGAGCGGGTTTTTCCCGTCTCCCATGAGGTGATTCACGGAGCGACTTCAAGCCTGTGGCTCTCGCTCCGCCCGGGAGCAGATAGGAGCACGTACCTCCCGCTGGGCCGCTGGACCCAAGGGCTGCCTTGGGAACGGTAAGTGGGGTGTCTCGGAGAGCTCGCCAGAGGAGGGAGTCGTGGGGGGCTCCCTGTAGCTCCAGACTTTGGGGTTAGGAGGCGAGAGTTGGAGAGTGAGCTGGGAAGAGTTGAGGTTAGGACTGCCGGCCCTCCGGCTCTCCCTGCCTCCCTTCTGAAGTTCCCCCTTCCTGTCCCAGACTCTGCCTCCTCCTGAAGCTGGAGACACCCCCTCTGAGCCGCCTGCCAAGGCCCGGCCCTCTTTGCCTTCGCTCCTTCTGTGCTCCTGGGTCACCACCACCCGGCTCACACCCCTCCGCTCCCTGATTGCCCCGCAGGTTCTGCCGCATGTGATGAAAGTGTCTGCTCTCAGGGAAAGCACAGCCATGGCTTCCCCAGCGCCCCGGGAGATGGAGGAGGAGCTGGTATCTTCTGGCTCTGAGCCAGGTACCTTTGGGTGCAGGGTGGAGCTGGGTGGCAGGGAGGACGGAGGAGGGGCGGGGCTGCACCCCCACTCTGTTTTGGAAGGATGATCTGTTGAGGTGGGCGTGAGGTGGGGAGCAGAGCCAGATTGTGGAGAATGAGTTTGGAAGAGTCTCAGCTCCTGTTGAGACCCTTCGGAACTGCTTGAGGTCACAGCTCCCCAGCTCCCTAAAGAGCAGACTGACCTTGGGGCTGATAGGGATCCGCCCAGGTTTTACACAAGAGGAAACTGAGGCCCAGAGGAAAAGTGGACTGTGCCTCCTGGATTTGAATTCAGGTCTCCTGGCTCCCTGGCTAGACTTTTCTTAGCCTGAGCCGGATGAGTGGGTGACACCGGTCCCATTAGAAGGGCTGTGGCCATGAGTAACTCCAAGGCCTCTTATTTGGCACTGGAATGCCTTATATAGAAGGTAGGTTTCAGATCTAGTGTTTTTTCCTGTGGCAGATTTACTTCTGTTTGGCTTAGGTCAATAGTAACTTTGCATTCCTCATCACACCGGATGACAGTGGGGGAGGAGGCATGGGGACACTCTAGTGGGATATCAAGTCTACTGTGGATGACTGTACAGTAAGTGGTCACGTAAGAGGGAAGATTGCACCGGAGAGGTGCTGGACCGATCCACTGACTGACGTGGGCAGGCACGTTCCTTTATTGTTTTTTCATTCACTCATTCATTCATTCATTGGACAAGAACGTATGCCAGGTGCACAGTGGGGTGCCAGGAAAAACAAGCTGGATCCTCAGGTAGCTTTCTTTTACTTATACGGGGAGTTGACTGAACATTTTGGGAATTTGGAGAAGGGAGAAGATACTTTTGAGATGTGTCTCAAAAATCAAGGAAGGCTTCATGGCAGAGGTGACATCTGACCTCTGAGCTCACATATGAAAGATGTGAACATTTTGAGTTTGTAGGGTGGGGTGGGGGCTGAGCTGCAGTGGAAAAGACCAGCAGTTCTGCTTCCTAGTTCTTCTGACCGTCCCACAACCTGCCCTTTACTTTGGTAGGTGACCCTCAGGCCAAACCCCCAGTCAAGCCCAAACCCCGGGCTCTGCCGGCCAAGCCAGCCCTGCCAGCCAAACCCAGCCTGCTGGTACCTGTTGGGCCTCGACCTCCTCGGGGTCCCCTGGCCGAGCTGCCTTCTGCGCGGAAGATGAACATGCTGGCGGGACCCCAGCCCTATGGTGGCAGCAAGCGTCCACTCCCTTTTGCACCGAGGCCCGTGACTGTGGCCTCTACTGGAGGAGACGCCACCCCAGAGACTGGGAAAGAGGAGGCTGGGAAAGAAGAGCTGCCCCCGCTGACACCCCCAGCTCGATGTGCCCCCCCGGGGGGCGTGCGGAAGGCCCCTGCTCCCTTCCGTCCGACCTCGGAGCGCTTTGCAGCCACCACGGTGGAGGAGATCCTGGCCAAGATGGAGCAGCGAAAGGAGGTCCCCGCCAGCCCTGACCGCCTCTGGGGCTCCTGCCTCCCCTTCAACCACGACGGCAGCTCCAGATACGGCTCCCGGACCTATGGCGTGGCCGCGAGTCCTCGGGACGAGGACCGTGGGACCGTCTCCAAGGGGTGTTCCCAGGGGGGGCCAGCGAAGGCCCCCACAGAGTGCCCGGAAGAGCACAGCAAGACCCCCGAGGAGAGGTAAGGGTGGGAGGCCGTTTGTAGCAACCTGTGGCTGCGGGTGCTGGGAGGGCACCCACAAGCAGACCGTCCCCCCACAGTGTCCCCGTTACTGTGTTAGTTTTACAGCCTCATTCTCTTCACAGGGTTGGTGTTTGTTTATAGTAGAGTTCAAGTATGGGTGTTTATTTTTAGTTTCTGTCTCCTGAGCGCTGAACTTTGCCTCGTGTGACCCACAGCCATGCTGTTTAGTGAAGGGGATATTAGCCCCCTCTTAGAGGTGAGGAAGCTGAGGCCCCAGAGTCACTTCCCGTGACCCCTCGCAGCGCAGAGGTGGAGCTGGGTTTGGATTCCTTCTGTTGGATTCCTAGGCCTGCTGCCTCCTGGGTGGGTGGAGCTGTGTGCAGGTGCTGGTGTGTGTGAGAGGGAGGGAGGGAAGGAGGGAGTCATCTACCACCTCTGCCTGTGAGGTGTCTGATGGGAGAGATAAGACGTGGCCACGCCTTGTTGCTGGGCCAGCTCCTGTCGGTGGGGCGGGCCCTGGCACTGGATCCACTTCTCTGCAGAAGCCCATGGGTGGTGGGCACAGGGTGTTGGGGAAAGAGACTGAGGCCTCTCGGGTGCCATCCACTGCACGCTCGCCGTTCTCAGAGTGGGGAGTGCCAGCTGGAGGCCCTGGGGCGGGGCCTTGGGTTCCCTTCTGTGCAGGGGAGGGCTGCTGTGGTCTTGGCTGAACTAATGGCCCTGCCCTCCAGCCATGCCCGCCTTTCACCCAAAAGTGCCTGAAGGCAAGGCCCCAAGCCAACCCTCCTGTGTCCCACACTGGGCTCACACCCCGCCCAGCCTGGGTCCCACCCTCCACCCTCCTCTTTTCTCACCGCTCCCAGCAGAGCATAAGAGGAACAACTTCAATCTCAGAAAACCATTCTTCGCCAGTCCCCCCACCCCCCCCCTTCAAGATATATTGGCAGGGCAGGCAGACCAGCTGGTCTCCTGGGAGGGGGAGCACTCAACCCCTTAGGGGTGAGCAGAAAAAGGAGTTATCTTTTGGGGACCCTTGGTGAAAGTGTGGGACTGCAGGGTGCTTTTCCTGCAAGGGCTGGAGGAATTTAACCCATGGTGTGCAGGCGGGCACGGCGCCTTCTCTCTGGACACCACGCAGCGCGTCCTTCCCGGGCAGTTCCTGGGGGCAGGGCTCTGCAGTGAGCGCTTGGGTAGGGGTTCACTGTGGGTGCTGTGAAAGTCACCTGCAGACTGTTGCCAGTTCCATGCCTTCACCACCTGCGACGGGCGCCTTCATTCCGCGCCATCTCCTGCCTTTCTCTCTCCAGGAGCCCCCCTGCGGACCGGGCCTACAACGGGGGCCTGGCTCAGCTGGCCAGCATGGAGCCAGCTGCCGAGGTGAGTTGTCCTCCTGTTTATGCGTCAGAACTATAGTATTTTAGGCCATAAGTGTCATCTGAGGGGATCTTTTCCAGTCTTTGTAGTTCTTATGGGAGAACCAAGGGCCACTTGCCCCAGGTCTGGCCCCAGGACACAGAGTTATCAATGTCCTGGCCGGTGCTGTCACACAGCAGCAAAGTGCGGTCAGGCCGCCAGCCTGCGCCTGTCAGAGTGTGATAACACCCGCCCTCAGGTACCCTGTGCGGGCTTGTTCCAGGAACCTTCCCTGACCCTTGTGACAGCTCTAGCTTGCAGGTCCTGTTAGCCCCACAAGGGAGGGACACAGCCAGGACTCCCAGAGGCTGTCATTGCCCTAAGGCAGGATTCCAAGCTCTGACCAGTGCTCTCCCTTCTGGGCCCTTTTCGGGTTCAGGAGAGGAGTCTTTCCCTGGGGAGGCTCCTCTTCCATCTCCTTCTCTCCTCCACGACCGCCCTACCTGCCTGAGTAACTGATGGCAAGGATGGCTCCTTGCCCACGGAGTCCCTGCTAGCCAGAGCCGCCCCGTCTGCCTGTGACAAGACCTGACCGTCGTCATCCAGTAAACACTGACCGGGCACCATCCTGCATGGGGGCCAGGGAGACAGAACAGCCCACCCGCTGCCCTTGCTCTCGGGAAGCTTGGTTCCGAAGTGGGGTAGCAGACAAGAACAGCCATTCCCATAAAGCAGCAGATGGAAACCCGTGCTGGGGAGCCCCAAAGGCACAGAGCGGGGGGAGCGAGCCGTGTGGATGCCGGAGACCGCACCTTGGCAGCGGCAACTGTGAGACAGGCCTCGGTGCTTCCACACAGGCGATCTGGACATGGCGGGCGAGTCGGAGTGCGTGTCAGGGGGTCACAAGGCGATGGGTTGGGGAAGGGTCTGGGCTAGAGTAAGAGTGGGGCGCTCTGGGGGTGTGGGGAGTTGCTGGCTTAGTTGCAAGGAGTCACCCTGCCCACCAGGCGAGAGTTGGCAGTGGTGGCCAAGAGCCAAGCGGTGAGTGGGTTGGGCTGTGGGCATCCAGGTGAGAGACGGACGATGGTGCCGGGACCTTGGAGGTGGCCTGGGCCGTGGGCATCCCAGTGAGAGACGGACGATGGTGCCCAGGACCTTGGAGGTGGCCTGGGCCTTGGGCATCCCGGTGAGAGACAGACGATGGTGCCCGGGACCTTGGAGGTGGCCTGGGCTGTGGGCATCCCGGTGAGAGACGGACGATGGTGCCCGGGACCTTGGAGGTGGGTGGCGAAGTGGCCCGGGCTCGCGGACGCAATTTCCTGCCAGAGAGCCTGGCATGGGCACGGGATCAGGGTGGCGCTAGGGCATTTGTGTGTCATTTACTGACATGGGGAGGGTGATGCAGGGTGGGAGACGGAGGCGCATTTGGCTTCTGGGTTTGTTGAGCTTGAAGTGTCTCCTCGGCATCTCAGTTAGATGGCAGGTGGGCCGTTGGCTGTTGGAGCCTAGAGCACTGGCAGGTTGAGAGGAAAACGTGGGACTTGTCTGTGCACAGACTGTAGTTAAGAGGAGCTGAGGTCACCCAGGGGTGGAGGCGGGGGAGGGGGGCCGTGAGTGGCCTGGGGGTCGAGGGAAGCCGGCGACAGTGGCCCCTGAGACCCACAGGTGACAGCAGTCCCCAGCCCGGCAGCAGCACCCCACCCCACAGGTGCGTGCAGGGAAGTGGGGGCTCACGGGTGACCTTGCTCAAGCACTCGGGCGGGTGAAGGAGGGCCTGCCTGGCACCGCTCCAGGGGAGTGGACGAGAGGGCTGGAGAGATGTGGACACAGCGAGAGCTTGGCGCTGTAGAGGTGTGCTCCAGAGTGTGTTTTTATTTTAAGACGAAATGAGAGCCCCAGTGGCTGATGGACGCGAGCCAGCAGAGAAGGGAAAGATGGTCGGCGAGCTCCTGTCAGGAGGGTTCTCGAAGATAGAATTAGGAGCGAAGATAGAATCGGGTGTGGGGCAGGGTGTGCCAGTGCGCAGGACAGGAAGCAAGGTGGTCCCCCGAGAGGGGATGGCGAGGCATCGGAGTCCTGAGACCGGATGGGAAGGCGGGGAGTCTGCTGGGTGGCTCGGGGCCGGGAGGTGACGCTGCCCGAGATCTGTCCTCCGGGGTGCGTGCTCAGCGTGACCTGGTGGAGAGCTGCTGGCTGGCAGACAGGTTGAAAGTGAATGGCGGAGGGAGTAGAGAGCAGTGTGGACAGGTGCCTTTAGTGGTGGCAAGAAGGAGCAACGCCAGGAAGCTGCAGGGGACAGGCGTTGGAGGGGCTGGGCGATAGGGCTGCTGCTTTGCGCTGTGAAGCAGGGAGCGAGGGGGATGACGGACGGAGGAGCTGGACACATGGAAGGTGGGAGAGTGTGAGCAGACACTTGAAATGGATCTTAGAAGGAGAAGGTCTCAGGTGTGACCCCGGGAGTGGTCCCCAAGGAAGGGGGAGCCAGGATGCTGGCCGAGTGGACAGCACGGCCAGGGCAGTCACTGAAATCGAACAGGCACAGCGCTGCGGTCAGGCTGCAGGGTGCAGAGCCCAGCTTTTCCAGGGGTGCGGGGTCTGGAGGGGCTATCACAAGCAGGACTTGGGGGGCAGGTACAGCTTGAGGGCATGAGCTCTAAGACAAGAGCACTGTAGAGAGAAGGAGGGAGGCCGTGGATGGGGCTGGAGAAGGAAGCTTTGACCCTGCTGCCCAGGCCCAGGAGGTGACGGCTTTGAGGAGACGGCCCACTTGGCGGCACTTGGCGGGGGTGGCTGGGGGGCACGGGGCGCCCAGAGCAGGACTCCTGTCAGTGTCCGGGCCAGCCGGAGCGGCTGGCACAACAGAGAAGCAGGCCGGTGCAGGCGCCTCCCTCCCTCCATCCTCAGGGCATCCGTTCTTTTAAGTTCTAGTCTCCTCCTGCCTCTGTAAGGTGGACACCATCGCCCTTGGCCCGGATGGGAGGTGGAGGCCCTGGGACCATTGTGTGGGCTCACGGCTCTCGAGGGGTGGTGCTGGGCTGACGATGCCGGTGCCCTCACCCCCAGTGCGTTTCTCTGGAATGTGGGTAGTGCCGGGACCTGTGGGTCCCCAGAGCAGTGGGGAGTGCCCCCACCTTCCAGAGCTGTGCTGTGTTCAGGGGTTCCAGCGGAACCCCAAAGGCCCAGGAGGCATGGTTCCCGGTTTCCCTTTATAAAGTGAGTGGCCTGTGACCCACGGACTTGCAGGAGCACCTTAGGTGAGCCCTGGGTGGGGAGATTTGAAATTGAGCTGGAAGGGTTGAGACTGTGAGTCAAACTATAAGCACTTTCTGGGGAGTGTCTGAAGGAAGGGGCTGTGATCCCCAGGAAGCTGAAGAACTCAGAAGCCCTCACTCGCCTGTGGGGCTTTTCCCGCTTTCTAGAGAGGCCACCCTCAGCCCTGCGGAACCCCAGTTTCCTCCTCCTGTCTGCGGGGTGAGTGGGAAGAAGACCTGGCCTCCCCAGCCAGCTGAGCATCCGATGACAGCTCGTGACCTTGCCTTGCAGGCTTCCAAGCCTTGGGTGCCCCCAAGTCCGGGCCCTGCTGCAGAGAACGGAGACTCCGCCAGCCCTGGCCTACCTGCTGAAGCCTCGGACCCAGCCACTGGGTCTCCCTGTCCCCGCTCGCCAGAGAAGACAGCTCTCCACCAGTCTCAGCTTCCAGAGACCCAGAGTCCAGGTGCTTCTGGGCCTTCTCCCTGCCTCCCTGCGACTCCAACCTCTCCTGCTGCCTCCCTGCCCGAGGAGGGCTCCTGCCATCACCCTAGCCCAGAGCTCTGTGCTCCAGGAGCCTCCGAGGCCCCCGGCCCCAGCAGCCCCCGCAGCCCCCGCCTCGTCAAGGTGTCTGGGCGCCACAGCCCAGACCTGCTTGTGGCCGCCTCGCCCCGGCCCCTGACGGAGGTGGGTGAGATGCTGGATCTGAAGCGGACGTTTCCCTCCAGCGAGGAGGCTGTCCCAGGTGACCTCCGGCCCACCAGCCTGGCTCAGCGCAGATTTTCTGAAGGTGTGCTCCGGCCCCCGGCCCAAGACCAGAAGCTGGGGGGCTCTCTGGTGGCCCTGTCCGAGGCCCAGGGAAGCCAGTCGGCCTTGGATCGCCCCTTTGGGAGTGGGACAGAGTCCAACTGGAGCTTGTCACAGTCCTTTGAATGGACCTTCCCGACACGGCCTACTGGTCTCGGGGTGTGGCGGCTGGACTCCCCGCCCCCTTCTCCCATCACCGAAGCCACGGAGGCTGCGGAGGCGGCTGAGGCGGGGGACTGGCCCCCATCCAGCAGGGAGGAAGGAGAGGCCCAGCGGGGCCAACATGCCCGGTCAGCTCCGGAGAGGCCAGGAAGGCCAGGCTCCTGGGTACAGGCCGATGATCTGGGCATCTCCTCAAGCCCAAAGGCTGACAAGGAGTGTCAGCCTCAGGCCCCAGCTGTCTCCCCTGAGCCCCTAGCCACGACAGGGAGCCCTCCTGCCTCCACCCTGTGGCAAGCCGAGGAGAGATACGAGGAGGAGCAGCCCCTGGCCAGACAGGAGTCCCTGTGCCCTCTGGCCCCTGGGGAGGCTGCTTTGCCCATCCTGGAGCCCATCCTGGGGCAGCAGCGGCCAGCACCCTTCGACCAGCCCTGCGTCCTCTTTGCCGACACCCCTGATCCCCGGCAAGCATCGCCTGCCGAGGAGGAGGCTGTGACCCTGACTCAGGCTGAGACCACCCAAGCCAGGACAGAGGCTCAAGACCCCCGGAGGGCGTCCCCCGACCCTGTAGGCCCGGAGGACAGTTCCCGCTGGCTGGATGACCTCCTGGCTTCGCCCCCACCTAGTGCTGGCAGTGCAAGGCGAGGCGCTGGATCTGAACTGACCGATGCACAGACCCCAAGTGCCTGCCCCGAGGTGAGGACAGGGCACAGGGAGGTGGGAGCCGGGAGGAAGCAGGAGGGCGCCTGTCCAGGAGCTCGGGATACAGCCACACGTGGCTCTGGACGTTGCCCTCGGCTGCAGCCTGGCAAAGCTGGCAGAGCGAGGGGCGCTGTCTGGGACTTAGGGTCTGGAGTGCATTTACCCCTGACTCCAGTGTTGGCTGGCTGAGTGGCCTTGGAATGTGCCAGAACCTCTAGGCTATGAGTCCTTTCGTAACCGCTTGCCGCCTGCCCTGCCCCTGCGGCACAGAGCGCTGGGGAAGGCCCATGCCGGACCTGTCGGGGGCGTTCAGGCCGTTTTGGCCGTTCTGTGAGGAGTGTGAAAGGGAGGTGGACTGGCCCTCTGGAGCGCGGGCTCCAGAACCAGACCGCCTGGCGCCCCCAGGCTCTGCTCCTCTGCCCAGGTGTGACCTTGACCGTGTTCCTTTTGCACCCACGTCTCAGTTTCTGCATCAGTAACATGGGGGTCACAGTAAGAGTCCTACCTGATGGGTGAGGAGTGCATTACGGTTCCTGTAAAATACCAAGAATAGCTCCCGGCTTGTCACGGTGCTTAGTCAGAGTTGGTTTTATGGGCGTTATTACAGGCTGCCCGGGCCTTGAGGGGCAGTCTTGAGCTGGGCTGTCCAGGGGTTTTGGCTGGGCCTGCCCGAGCCCCGGCTTCCGGTGCCCTTTCTCCTCCCGCTGCCTTTGGAGTTCAGGGCTGGGATCCCGGTGGCTTTTGAAATGGGTTTTTCGGAGCCCAGCCCAGGCGGTAGGGGCGGGGCGGGGAGGAAGGAGGGGCCTGGGGGGCCTCTGGGGAGGAGGGTGAGGAGGGTGAGGAGGAGCAGGAAGGAGTTAAGACTGAGCTGGCTCCTGCAGTAGGTGTGTCTGTCCCAGGATGTCGGTGACTCAACTGGCTTCTGGGCGGGGCTGCCCGGGCGGCAGCTGCTCCGGAGGGAGCGAGGCCAGACCCAGCGGGCGCCAGAGCCGTCGGACAGGTCCCGGCTCCCGGCTAGGGGAGCGCCCGGCCCGGCCCAGCCCGGCCCGGCCCAGCAGCGCCGCACCCAGCGGCCTGGGGGCAGGCGGGGTGGCAGGGGCCATGGCTGGGCTTGGGGACGGGGAGCCGAGCATGTCTGTCCTGGAAAGGCTGCTGGCCAACGCAGCGCTGAGGGATGAGGCGGGCAGGCTCCGGGCTCAGCCGGTCGCAGCAGGAGTGAGTCAGGGAGGTGGGGGGAGGGCGGGGGTGGTGCTCCGACCTGGGCCTTTCATCTGTGTCAGAGGCCAGTATCCCCTGGGGCCAGGCCGAACAGCCTTCCTGGGGAGTGCTGAACGGCTCTTTGGGGGGACTTTGCTTAGGGAGGAAGGGGCTTGGTGCACATGGGTGCTGGAAGGGCTGGGTGCTGGTGCTGGAATCTGCTGGAGTCTTGCAGAGGAGGGAGCGGAGGAGTTTAGAGCTTGACTCTGGTAATCAGAAGTGCACCTTCACTCAGAGCAAAGCCCCCTCCTCCAGGCCGCCTTCCTCCTGGCCAACAGCCAAGTGTTGCCCAAGGGTCATCAACATGACCGAGGGTGGGCTGAGTGCCCGGTGTGCTGTGCTAATACCTGGTTCAGAGGATCTTGTTTAATTCTTCCAAACCCCACCCCCTTTAGGGATGAGGACCCTGAGCCCTAAGTGGCTAAGTGATTTGCTCAAGATCACACAGCTGAGCTCCCAGCGCAGGTTTTCTGATGCTGAATCAGGGTACCTGTCCTGATTGACTCTAAGCATTGTTTGTCTCTCTTATTTTTTTCCTCCAACTCCCAGGGACTCCTCGGTTGGGCCCAGAAGGATCTGCAGAGTGAATTTGGCATTGCAGCAGACACCCACCCTGGCAGCTTCAGCCCAGTGGTTTCCACGCAGCAGTTTCAGCCCAGCTGGTCCCAAGATACCTCTCAGGACTATGGCCTTGGGGGTGCCAGTCCTAGAGGAGACCCAGGCCTTGGAGAGAGGGGCTGGTCCCCCAAGTGTGGGCAAGGAATAGGGGAAGGGAGCACTAGGGAGTGGGCGAGCAGGCGAGGCCCTGGCCAGCAGGAGATGGAGGTTAGCGGCCAAGGTGGGAGTGGAGCTTCTGCCCTGGGTGGCCTGGGAGCCCAGGGCCGAGTGATTGGCAAGCCCGCCCCGCAGAGCCCCGAGGCAGATGTCCAGGCCTGGGAGTTCAGGAAGAGGGACTCCCAGGGCGCTTACTCCAGTCGGGATGCCGAACTCCAGGACCAGGAATTCGGGAAGAGAGAGTCACTGGGCGCTTACTCCAGTCGGGATGCCGAACTCCAGGACCAGGAATTCGGGAAGAGAGAGTCACTGGGCGCCTACTCCAGTCGGGATGCCGAACTCCAGGACCAGGAATTCGGGAAGAGAGAGTCACTGGGCGCCTACTCCAGACGGGATGCCGAACTCCAGGACCAGGAATTCGGGAAGAGAGAGTCACTGGGCGCTTACTCCAGTCAGGATGGAGGCCTGCGGAACTGGGAATTTGAGAAGAGAGATTCACTGGGTGCTTATGGCAGCCGGGATGCAGATGAACAGAGCCAAGAACTAGGGAATAGTGAGCACCCAGGCAGGTATAGCAGCCAGCATGCAGGGGAGCAGGACCGGGAGTTTGGGGGGAAAGAGTCTGCCGTGGAGCGGCGGGACCAGGATTTCGGGAAGAGTGCCTGGATGAGGGACTACAGTGACCACAGCAGCACCCTGGGCCTTGGCTCTCAGGACAGAGGCTTCGGGTCGAGAACCACGAGTGCCGGGTTCAGCCCTGAGGATGCACAGCAGCAGGACGAGGAGTTTGAGAAGAAGATTCCGAGTGGTGGTGGGCTGGGGGAAGCAGGCAGGGCTGGCAGCCAGCCCGAAGAGAGAGAGCTGGGGGGCTTGTTCAGCCCCAGCACCCCCCATTCGCAGGACGGGGCCCTTGGACAGAGAGACCGGAGCAGCTGGCAAGGCAGCAGTGCCAGCCAAGAAGTTGGAGAGCTGCAGGGGAGACCACGGGCCGGGTGCCGGAGCCCAGGCGGGCCTGACCAGGGAGACGGGGACACCGGGCAGCGAGGCTGGGCCAGTGACTTCAGCCTCGGTGCCGTTCACCAGTCGGGGACAGCCTTCAGTCCAGAGCAGCGAGACTGGAGTGGTGACTTCTGCATGGAGGTTACTGAGAGGAGCCATCAGTTTGGCATCATCGGCGATGACCGGGTGAGCGGCGCGGGCCTGAGCTCTCCTGACAAGTTGGGAAGTGGTCACTTTGTGTCTCCAGACAAGACCTCTGCTGGGCCACTGGATTGGACTGACCAGCTAGGCCTCAGGAACTTGGAAGTGTCCAGCTGTGCAGGTTCTGGGAGCTCGAGTGAGGCCAGGGAGCATGCCCTGGGCCAGAGAGGCTGGTCAGACAAGCTGAGCTCGAGTGACCTGGGCCTGTCCAGCCGTTTGGAGACTGGAAGACCTGAGGAGCCCAGGGGGGTTGTAGGGGGCGAGAAGGACTGGACTTCAGATGTCGGGATGAGGAGCAGAGAGCTAGCTGGGGTGGAGGAGGTGGGTGGCCACAGCCAGGCCAGAGAGAGTGGTGTGGGCCAGACCGACTGGCCCGATGTAGAGGCGGGAGAGTCTCTTCAATCCAGGGAACGTGGAGTGGGGCAAGCAGACTGGACACCCGACCTGGGGCTGAGGAACATGGCGGCTGGCTGTAGCTCTCGGGAGCTCGGGGTGGGCCAGGTGGACTGGGGCAACAACCTGGGCCTGAGGAATTTGGAGGTGCCCTGTGACCTGGAATCTGAAGCTTCTCAGGAGCCTCGGGGCTGTGGAGTGGGGCAGATGGACTGGAGTCAGGACTTGGGGCTCAGGAGCACGGAGCTCTCTGGGGCCCTCGGCGAGGCCAGGGAGCGGGGGGTGGGGGAGGTCAGCCATCGCCTGGAGCTAGGCCCCAGGGACCACAGCTTGTCCCCGGGCCCGGAGGCTGAAGACCCCGTGGAGGCCAGGGGGTTGGGGGTCGGCGAGACAAGCGGGCCAGAGACCCCAGGCGATGATGAGGACTCCTCGCCTTCCTCGGACACCCGCCCTGAAGACCTGGGCATGGAGCCGGGAGCGGCACCGGGCTTTGGAGCCAGGTAAGGGAGCCGCATCCAGGGAGGGGACGAGCTTTCACAAGGACTTCTAGCATTTGGAAGATTGAGATGGTATCAACTGCTCTTTTTTTTTTGGAAGATTGATTTATTATTCATACAGAACTGCGGTACAAGCCAGAGGTGCAGGGGGCGAGAGGATTCATTAGAGACAGAGCGGGAAGCAGAACATGCCAACTGACAAGTACACTGCTGAGGGGAGCAGCGGGCGGGTCAGGAGAGGTCTGCCATGCCATGTGGGCCACCTCAGGGGCAGGCAGGGATCGAACTCATGTGGAAGTGGCTTTAGCTTCTTAGTGCTGTGCTTTAACTCGCTGCACCACTAGGGAGGGCCCTTTAATTTGACTTTTTAAAGATAAAAACCTAACACAGGCAAAGCCTTTTTTTATTGAAGGGTGATGGCGAGGCTCGGGGTGCTTTTGAACCCCATGCTCTAGGCTTCCTTGGTGATTTTGCGTCGTGACTGTGCTGTGGGACAGGATCCGTGTCATGTTTTGGGACAGTGTCTGTGGGATCCTCCCTGGTGCTCTGGCTGGTCCAAGGCCAAGGTGCTCCCGGGCCAGAAACACGAAGCTTTCACAGGTGAGGGAAGGAGAAGGGCTCTGTGTCCTCTGGACCCGGGAGGGGGTGGCCAGCGGCACTCCTTGCTGGGAACTGGGTGTCTCTTGCCTGCCCTTTCTTAAGTCCCTGCAGCAACAGTTCAGGAACCCAAAGGGCGAAGGGCCTTGGCACCTGACTGACCCTGACCAAGTTACCCAGAGAGGCTTCCAGAGGAGGAACTGGTCTCTGGGGCTATCACCCCCTGTGAGGTTGAGGGATTTTTATGTTCTAAAACCAACCTAGGTGATTTCACACCCAGAAAGGGTGCTAAGGAAAGGGTGCTAAAGAGGCGTTGGATCTCGTTAACATTGCCACCCATTTGGTTTGACTCTTGACTGAGTAGAGAGTTTGACCTGTGCCAGCCCTGGACCTTCTCCCAGGTCTAGAAGGGGACAGAGGTGTTGATGGGGCCTGAAGAAATGGAAGAACTGGTGGTTGGGGAGGAGGAAGACTAGAGAGTTGGGGGTTTTGGGGTGTTGCAGGACCGAGGGATACCAGCGGGGTCAGGTGGAGGGAAGCAGGATGGTGGGCAGCTCCATGGGGTGTTACTGGATGGGCCCCAGGGCACAGGGTGTCCTGGCTGCTGAGTGGGGGGGTGGGAGTGGGGGGGCTGGTGACTGCAGACAGGGCCCTCATGTCTCTGGGCCTCCCTTTCTCCCATTGCTGGTGCAGTGACAGCACCTGCTCCCTGTGTTGCTGGTGATCCTCTTCCTGGGACAGTCCCCCATGCTCCCAGCACCTCTCACCCCCGTGATCTTCACAGCCGCCCTGAGAAGCAGGAAGGGGATTTTATCTGCTCCAGTTAGCAGGTGCAGAGGAGGTGTGATTGCTCAGGTCTCAGAGTCAGCGGGGCCTCTCTCCCCGGGCTTCCTTTCAGAAGCTCTCAGCTATGGCCCCTGAATTCTGGTCTCCTACGGGATGGGACCCACAGCCCTCCACCGGGGGTCCCCCGCTGAGTAGGGTGGCTCTTGAGAAGGAGAATATCTTGCTGTTTGTTTTGGATGGAGGAAGAGGCTTCCGGGGTGGGGGTGATGAGGTGACTGAGTTAGGAGGAGTGGGGTGGTGGAAGAGGGGAGTCTGCAGTTCCATTTCAGGCTCCTAGCGCCTTTCTTTAAAAAATGATCAGCAGATCAAGTTTGAGAAACAAGACAAAACCCATGCAGGTATTTCGGGGTGCTCTGTAAGTTTGAGGGTGCGTGTTCTCAGCACCGTGGCTCAGGAACAGGAAAGGCGTTTGTACCTTTCTTTAAGGCAGTTTCCTGCTCACTTGATATCCACGGGCCAGTGCTCCTTGCTCCTGACTTGGGGAAATTCTACACTTTGGAAAGTGTCTCTGTGAAGGAAACTGGGAAGGTCTGCGGGACAGCAGAGGCATCTGTGCCAGAATTGGGTCCTGGTTGTTCCAGCACCTCCGTGACCTTGGGCCTGTTGTTTCTCTTCCCTGGGGCCCCGATTCCTGGTCTTTATTCCTCGTACTCAAGAGTTGTCTTGAGGGTTAAGTGATGGAAACCGGCCCAGTACAAGGAAAGCCCTGGAAAAGCGCTCATCCCCATATTTGTATCTGTTTTGCAAATTTGGATGGATGTGAACTGTCCGTGGAGTGAAGCCCTTGGGGACACAGGCACCCTGATGGTTGTGTCTGACAGCTGTGACAAGGCCGGAGGGGGGTGGGTGGAGCGTGGGAGAATGTGGGGAGAACTCTGGGCCCTCCCCAGTGTCCGGGGGTGCTCCCAGGTCCCCTGAAGGTGGTCCTGTCTCTGGCATCCTAGTCATCTCTTGCCTTTCCCCCTGTGCCCCAGGGAGGTGGGTGGCCCCTGCTCTCTTTCGGGCCTTTGCAAAATCTGGGAGGACATCAGTGACCAGGGAGGCCGCTCGCTTTATGGATGGGGAACTGAGCTCCGGAGAGGCGTCGCTACTCGCACAGAGGTCCCGCTTGTGACGCAGGGCCCGTCCTGTCCCCCGCGAGCCCAGCCTCCCGGCCACCTCTGGCTTTCCTTCCCTCTGGAGTCGTGGCCGGCCAGTGGCTGCCCCTTGAGCCCCTCATTCCACACGTGAGCCCCGGGAGGCGGAGCTTGTGCAGCCGGCCAGTGTTGGCCTGGAGTGTGGGGGAAGTTGGATCAAATCCGGGAGGATACTCAGAGGGCCGCGAGGGGCGAGGGGCAGAGATGGTCCAGATCAGGCCAGGAGGCTGTTTATACGATGCTGACTCAGCACACGAACCGAGGGCCAGCTCTGCCCTGGGCCTTCTGGCCAGGCAGTCCCCTTCCTGACTCACCCCTGCGCTGGGAGGGCTGCGAAGGCTGGGGTGCTGCTGCCACCCTCTGCCCCATCTTCCTGATTGTGGGCAGCTGTGGCACTGGCTCTGGGCCTACTTTGCAGCATTTCTGCTGCCTCCGCCCTCCCCCTCCCCCCTCGCCGTCTCCCAGACCGCTTTAATTTCCATCTGTCAGCAGCTTGTGGAAGGACTGACCGACAGGCTCCTTCCTGCCCTTCCCCCGTGGCCTGGCCCTGACTCACCTGCTTCTCTCTCCTCCAGTCCAGTCGGGACCTTGGCGGCCGACTTCCGCACAGCCTGCCAGCCTTTCCCACGCCGGCCTTGTGTGCGTGTGCCTGCTGTGCAGTGGGGGCAGGGGTACTGGGTGTGTCTTGGAGCGGCTGGCCTCCGTGCACCCCCTCCTTGGGTGTTGCAGGGCGTGTCCGTGTACCTCAGGGCTGGGTGCCTGACTACACACGCTCTTGTGGTGAGGTGTGGGGGGGGGGGAGCCCGTGTGGGGGTGGGGGTGGGGGGGTGTGGCAGATGCCACAGCTGCACCCCAGTGCAAGGTGACCTGGCCTCTCATTCATTCAGCAAACGTTGGCTTCGTTCTGCTCCTCTCAAGACAAGCCCTGGGCTAGCTGCTGGGGGCAACAGGGGCCCCATCTGCCCTTGAGGACCTCACAGGTGGACGCAAAGCAGCACAGGCTGAAGGGGCCGAGGCTGGCGGGGCGGGGCGGACTGGTGGTGGCTGCGGGAGAGGAGGTGTGTAGGGGTGCGTTCCCCGCAGAGAGCAGCTTCTCCAGATGCGCAGCGTGTGTGCTGGGCCTGTGCGCGGGAGTCCTGGCTGCTCTGGGAGGCGGGGGCACAGGGAGGGGTGGCGTGGGGGTGGGCAAAGAGGTTGATGGGCAGAGGGCCAGTCTGCCTGGGGCCTTCCCCAGCTGCAGGGAGCGCTGCACTGTCTCCGTACCTGATTCCCCTCGAGGAGAGTGACCCAAGCTGGTGTCCTGGCAGGCACATTGACATCAGTCACAGCAGCGGCTGCAGTAGCGGTAGCTGAAGTTCTTTATGGGGGCGAGCTGACGGCCAGGCTGTGCTCTATGCCTCAGATTCGCAGTGACCCTTTGAGGGCAGAGGGCAGAGGCCTTCACAGGGACAGGGAATCATCCACAGTGCCGGCAAGTGGGGGGCTGTGGCTTCAGCCTGCTGCCCGGCCCCCCTTCCTCTGGGCCTTGCGTGTTCGTTGAGACCAGGACCATGTCCTTCCTAGGAAGTCTGGGAAATGGTGGCAACGGGGAGCCAGGGGAGAGAGACCTGGGGAGTAGGCTTTGGGGGGTGACGCTGTGCTCTGCTCTGTCTCCTTTGCAGTCCTGGTGGGCACTCGGCCCGCTCCCCACCCTCTGGCTCCCATGCCCTGCTGGAGGAGATTCGTGCCGCCGGCAGCACCGAGGCAGCGGCCCGCAGGGAGTCCGCAGCCTCTGGCCTCAGGGGCCTGTTGGAGGAGGCAGGAGCCACAGCAGCTGCAGACCGAGGGGAGCCCCTGCAGCCGGGCAGGGACCCTCTGCCCTCCTGGAGGCCCCAACCTGATGGTGAAGCCAGCCGGACAGAAGAGGTGGACGGCACCTGGGGCCCTGCCGAGGCTGGGCGGGGTGAGCAGGCCCCCACGCGGCTCCCTCGGCGGCCCCCCCAGGGCCCTCTCCCCAGCGCCCCCAGTCAGGACTTCTCCTTCATTGAGGTCAGTGGCATGGGTGAAGGGCTTCATCGCGGTCACCCAGGGCAGTGGGTGGGCTCTTGTGCCAGTGGGGGCTTTGGGAGCTGGAACCTGGAACCTGGTCTCTGGGGTGCCCCTCGGCTGTGGGGTGCTCTGAGCTGTGTCAGTCGGGAGGTAGAGAGTGGGCAGGTCTTGGGACTAGAAGGCCGAGGGCTGCCGTGGGCGCTCCCTGGCCACGGGCAGCACTGTGGCGGCCGTGGCAGTAGTGGCGCCCTTGTCTCGAGCAGGACACCGAGGTCCTTGACAGCGCCATGTTTCGGAGCCGTGCCAGCCTGGGGCGCAAGCGCGGGCACCGGGCCCCCGCCATCCGGCCTGGGGGAACCCTGGGCCTGTCCCAGGCAGCGGACTCGGACGCACGCCTGTTCCGGGACTGCACAGGTGGGGTGTGGTTCCGTGACGGCCGTGTGGGTGGGGGCGGGGGGCCGGGCGGCTGCCCTGGCTGAGTCCCCGTCTGGGCCCTCACAGAGCCACGCGCCGCTCGTGTGCCGTCTTCCGACGAGGAGGTGGTGGAGGAGCCTCAGCACCGCCGGACGAAGATGTCCCTGGGCTCCAAGGGCCTGAAAGTCAACCTCTTTCCGGGCCTGAGCCCGTCAGCCCTAAAGGTACCTCTGACGTTCAGCAAACTGCCGGCCAGCTGGCCACCTGGCACGCCCTGTCTCCCCGCCACCCACCTCTTCAGCCACGCCCATTCTGCTCTCGGTGAGAGTGGATGGCCCCGTGCCCTGCTGGGCCCTGTGCTGTGTCTAAGGGATGGGAGCGAGCAGGCTAGTGGCGGACGCCGGGGTTAGCTCTGGTGGACAGAGAGGTTTCGGTGCCACTGGGACGTCAGAGAAGCTCTTCCACCTGCTCAGGGAGAGAGGTGCTGCTTCCTAGTTGTAGGGGGACACAGGTTGGAGAGAGGTGGGACATCACGTGTGGGCATGGCTCTTAGCAGATGTGGGCTGTGGAGGGCCGGGCGGTTGGTGGGGAGGCATGCCATGCAGAGGGCGCAGGATGAGCGAGGGCCCAGGAGTGGGCTGTGTCCAGCCCGGTCAGTCTGCACTCACCTGGTCCGTGCCTTGTGAGGGCTCAGCTTTTGGGGATGCTCAGGCGACGTCCCGTTCATCCGGTGGAGGGACCGCAGTGGGGTCTGGCTACCCTGGGAAGGCCCACAGGCCCTCTGTGAATCCCCCTGCCTGCTCCTCCAACCTCTGCTCTACCTGGACTTGTCTCTCAGGCCAAGCTCCGCCCCCGCAACCGCTCAGCAGAGGAGGGGGAAGCGGTGGAGAGCAAGTCGAGCCAGAAGGAGACCACGGTCCAGCGCTCCAAGTCCTGCAAGGTCCCGGGGCTGGGGAAGCCCCTGGCGTTACCTCCCAAACCAGACAAGTCCTCAGGGTAGGTGACCGCGTGGGGACCTCCCTGTGCTGACCTGAAAGGGAAGACCCGCTCAGCAGAGAGCAACGCAGGCCCTGGGAGGAGCTTGGCAGGCCTGCAATGAACTGGTTCTCTGGAGCCAGGCCCCAGCTGCCTCTTCTTCCACATTTTGTTGGGCTTTCTTAAAGCTTGCCCTGCGCTCGGCTTTGTAGGTCAGAAGGATCGTCGCCCAACTGGCTACAAGCCCTGAAGCTGAAGAAGAAGAAGGTCTGAGAAGTCACTGAGGTGAGGGCGTGCGCCTGGCTCTGGCCCCTGGGGTGGGGTGGGGGCTGGGGGGGTGACTAGGCCACACTCTGGAGGACCCGGGCCCTGTCTTTTGGCCCCCGTGCCCACTCTTCTGTGCGAGGCTGGAAGCAGGCAGGTGAGACCAGGCCCTGGACGTGGTGGGGCTCGGCTTCCCTCGGTTAGTCCACAGAGTAGGGCATCTGGCCTGGGCTGGCAGAGAGGGCCTTCCATCCCTGCCTTCTCCCTGGGTTTCAGGACCGGCCCTGTGTCCTGAGTGTGGTCAGCCAGTCCCTCTGGTCTGGGACCCCTGGGCTGGGGAAGCTCGGAGCCGAAGTGTCTCCTCTGCTCCGCATTCCCTGCTCTTGACCTTTTCCCGTCCCCGTCCGCAGGTCCTTCCCGTCTGGAAGTCTCAGGCAGTGCCCGCTCCTGTGAGGTCCCCAGTGAGGAGACAGCTGGGGGCCCCCGCGCCCCAGGCCGCAGCCTCTGTCCCCCCAGCGCCCCTGAGGAGCATCTTGGGAGGCACATTTATGCACTTTGTATCACCTCCCTGCCCCCCACCCGACGCCCCCCTCCGGATCTGGATTCCGTCATTAGTGGTCGAAGGTTTTGGCCCCTCTCGTTCCCTATTTCTGCCTCCCTCTCTGCTTCCTCCTCGAGCCTCCCTTGGGTTTTTTCTTTTGATACCAATTTATAGCATTTTTTATAAAAGCCTTTGATTTTTGTAACGGGCGGAGCCCTGCCCCACCCTCACCCCCACCCCCGTCTCCCTCCGCCCTGCCAGGTGTCCCACAGAGACCAATGACATTTTGCCACTTGAAACAATAAAGTTTTTTGGGAATTGGTGCTGCCCTGGCTGTGGTGTGTGGGTGTGGCACCTGTTCCCCGCCCGAGGCTGCCGTTGGGGTGCCGGTGTCGGCCCTGGACCCCCGGGAGCTCACCCTGACGCGGCACATCGGCTCTCCCAGCCTGAAGAGGGCGTGCTGGGCAGACTAGGCCACTGGCACCCCACTGCCCCTCAGGCTCATATGTGTCACCCTGTCTCCCAGACCTGCCAGCCTTCTTAGGGCCACACTGTCCTTCCCTGGAGCCTGGTGAGAGAGCTGCTGGTGCCCAGCCTCGGGGGGGCCTCAACAGAGCCCCCGAGGTAGCTTCTCAGGACTGCTGCTGAGCTTGAGATTGAAATCCTCCCACTCCCAGTGCTGCTTAGTCTTCTTGGGTTTTGGGGTGGCTGGGGGGCTGTCATCCTCATGCAGGGATTTGTCCAGAGTTCTGGGCTCGAGAAAAACACTCCGTATGTGGTTTCAGAAGCCGAGGGGTTCGTCACCTTGGGTTCCCATCTCGGATGTCCTGCTTCACCTGAGGCGGGGCCCATTCCCACGCCCCTGTCTGGGTCCCTGGGACCCAATCTGGTGGGCCTAGGGCTCTGCATCCCGAAGCAGAGGAGTGTGCGAAGGCAGGGGGCCGCTAGGTGCCTGCTGCACCCCTAGGTGGGCATCAGCCCCTGGAGAGCATGGCCCAGCCTGGGCTTTGTTCTGAGCTTTGTCCCGTGCTCCCCACCCGTCCGGGTTGCAGCAGAACTGGCAGGGGCCCAAGCCAAGCACTTAGGACTCATTAGTGGGGAGATGGAGCCAGTGGGTCCCAGCGCCCAGGCTCCGCTGGGAGAGGAGGCGGAAGGCGGCAGGGCTACATCTGGGGTGTGGGCGGCAGTGTCCCACTGGCTCCCTGAGGGGAGTTGGGGGAGAGGAGCCAACACACACAAGCTTTGGCCGTAAAGGCAGCTGTCTGACAGCACTGCTGAGAAAGTCGTTCTTGTTGGGTGCTGCTGCCCAGACTGCCTGGGGCTCCCGGGAGTGGCCTCTGGATCTGGCGTTTGGATGTTGGAAACAGCCGAAAGTCCTCTGTATTAGGTAGGGAATGTGCCGGGCAGCCAAACAGGTCAGGCGGTTTTGGTCCAGGCCCTCCCAAGGCATTTTCTGAAGACCAGCGGCCCTCGAGAGTCGCCTGGTACGTGCGCTGCCTCTGGCCACAGCCACTCCGTGGCCTGTAAAGGACGCAGACCCGTGGCTACCTGTTTGGGAGCTGAGCTGCCCTTCTGGGGACTCTTGTCTGCTGAAGAGACACTGCTGAAGTGTCTGAGTCCTGAGGCCCTCACTGAGGGCCCACTGATGTTGGGGGGCACCCACGTACCCCACGCCCCAGGGCTGGCAGGGAGGCCTGGGAAGAGCAGGCCTGGCCCTGGGGCCCACAGTCCTCGCCGGCCGAGTGGGGCTGGTGTGGGCGCTTCCTTCCTGTAGCATCCTGTCTCCGATGGGGTCCAGCTGTCTGCTGTGGTCACTGCCCACCCTGAGAGGGGCCCAGATAGGCAGTTCTGGTACAGGAGTGAGCAGAATGGAATTTCGATTCTGCTCCTGACCTGCAGGGACCCTCTGGCCTCTGCTTTACAGAGGCCGTGTCCCAGAACTTTCACTTCCCTGAACCGCCTGAAGTCTAGGTGATGGCGGATGACCCTATCTGAGACAGAGCAGGTGGCCCGGGCTGCTCTTTGTTTTGCTGAGGGTGGGAACACAGACCTTTTTATTTTCTCTGTTTCCTGGGCTGATGCTTGGTGTGAAAGCTGGTGGACTGGATTTTCTGGGAGCTGATTTGCCTTTAGGCCTCTTTCAGTTAGACTCACCTGGGACAAAACCTTTGGCTGTCGTAGCAGTCGCCCGGCTTCCTCCCCTGCCAGCAGTGCAGATGCAGGAGAGAGCTGGCAGGTCTGGCAGTGCCCCACCCTGCCCGGGGAGAGTGCCAGCCCCTGGTGGCTACAGCCTCCTGGGCACTGCGTGATAAAGTGGGTTTTAATAGCTGCCCGAGGAATGACTCTAATTATACTTTTATTTATATAGCGCTCCGTCTCCAAAGAGCCAAACATCCATTCATTCATCTTTTTTTAAAAACAAAGATGATTGAATTTTTTCCCTGATGACAAAAGCAAAGCACACTCAGAGCCACTGAGAGAATACGAAGCCGTTAGATGAAAACATTGGCTGTCACCGCACTACCCAAAGGTGCTGCTAGCATCTTTTGGAAGATTACCTTTCTGTTTTAAGGATTTGGATTTACAGAAAAGTTGCAAAGCTACTATGCGAGTCCCCCCCAAACCCACACCCACTTTCCTCAGTGTCTCACATTCATATGGTGGATACCTCCCACTGCATGGTACTCAGAGCTGGCCGAGTACTTTGACTTAGGTCCATGCCGTTCCCTTAATGTCCCTGCTGTCCCCTTCTGGCCCCGGCTCCCACCCAGGGCATCACATCATGTTTACCTGGGATGACCTTGCCGGTTTTGAGGAGCACTGGTCTGATACTTTGCACAGGTCCTCCAGCCTGAGTTAACAGGACGTTTCTCAAGGTTAGATGGGGGATGGTAAATTTGGGAAGTGGCTGAAGGTGAGCTTCTTATGCATCATGTGACAGGTGTGTGCGTCAACACGACTTGTCACTTTGCTCTAACCTCAACCAGCTGGCTGAGAGGATGCGTGCCGGGTTTCCCCACCGTAAAGTCATTCTCAACCCCCCACCCCAAGTAACAGAAGTCCCTACCTCTGAAATGTCCATGTATTTGCTGCCAGTCTCCACCTTTCCTCACCCCGCTAATGCAAGCAAACTCCAAAGGGCACTTGTTAATTCCTGACTTCCACCCATCGTGCCTGGAGCCAGCAGCTGGGTTCCAACCTGACACTTGTGTCTTCATCTCTGGAGTTAGCATGCATTGCATGCAAAACAGGTGCATGCCTTGGCTTCACCAGTCAAAGCAAAATGATTGTGCACCTGGTGCCAGGCACGTGGCTCCGGGCTTCCCGGGCTGCGTTGGCCCCCACGGGGAGGTGATGGAGATGATGCTGCTGCCTTCATGTCGTGGGCGAGAAACTGCAGTTTGTGGCAGTGAAGGAAGTTGCTCAAACTGCACAGCCTGCAAGTGTCAGTACTGGACCCAAGCCTTGGCCTGTGGTCCCCAAGCTCAGCACCAAATAGGCGAAACTGGATAGGCTAAGACAATGAGAATGGGGTGTGGGGTGCAGGCTTAGATTTGAGTCAGGGCTCTTCCTCTGAGCTGTGTGGCCTTGGGTATGCCAGGTCTCCATCATCCACCCACTCACCCACCCATCCATCCACCCATCCACCCATCTACCCACCCACCCACCCAC